TGGAGAGGAACTCCTAACTGGTTTGCGTAGCATAGTGGTAAGGTTCTAGTTTGATAATGGTCTGATAATAACGCGTTGTCTGAGAGCGATGGTTCAAGGCTCAGCAGAACTGCCAAGAAGCTAAAAGGGAAAGAAAAGAAAAAAAAAGCGAGAAGTTAGGAACAAAGGGGAGAAGGGAGAAGAACGTGAGAAAGGAATGGAGACGAAAAAGCCACTTTCAATCAAATTCTCTTTTATTGAAGCAGTAAGTACTTATTACTTATGTATATATGCTAAACCCATGGGAATAGGTCATTGTCTTAAAAAACAATGGGGTGCATACATAATAAATGAAATTGAATGCATAATTAATGTATGGGGTTATATGGTACTCTTTCCCAGATTTCGAGGGGAGGCAAGTTCAAGGGGAGGCAGTTTTCACCCTGAAAATCCTTACTATTACGGCGATAGATTTTCAGACTGAATCGGAGTCATCAATTAAGCCACGACGAGTACACAAATAAGGTAACTTTAATGATCCAATACGTAAAAACCGAAACTAAGGATACAATGACCGACTGACCTTAACTGCCTTGTAGTCAAATAAATAAGAGTCATTGAGCGATTATAAACATCATCAAACTACAAACTAATTTGAGGCGACAGACAATAGCTACCGAGGTAGTACTGTTAATTTCGCGTTCGTTTATCTCAAGGTAAGGTACAAATACATATTTCGGAATATTTAGTGTTGTAAATGGACCATATTTCGTTCCCCATACTATTCCTTATAACTTATGCAATTGCAAATTGTCAACGGTTCCTCGCGTAATTTAACACTGCGTCACGCAATGCGTGACGCTTTATGGGACCGTTCATTTTTTACAAGGTAGTGGGGATTGGTGGGATTTGGGGAGGTCACCAAAAAAAAAAAAAAAACCGCCTTAAAGGGTGGGCCATCTAAAAGAACTAAGGCAAAAAGGAGGGGTCACGTAAAATATTTTCATAATGCCTTAAAAGGGGATATATGTTTTACTAGTCTTGAAAGTTTGGCCCTCACGAGTATGTCTTTGAGCGACCATCCTCTTTTGTTAGATACGAGGGGCGGATATTTGTATATTTCGCTCAGTAGTGGTTGTGTTTCTATTAAATGCCAGTTTCTCATGAGAATTTGCTTTAGGTTTGGCACTTATGGTTGGTATTGTGTAAAAAAGGCAAGATTCGTTGGTTCGTCTTCTGTTTTCGTCCGCTCTTATTTTGGCCCTCGCCCTACATTGTAGCGATTCTGGAAAAGTTCCTTTTTCTTTGTGCCTTTGTATATCTG